GCTAGCAACGCAACTTTGAGTATTGAGTTGCGGTGTAAGTTACAGAGCACCTAATTTTTGACTTCGGTACCTTAAAAGCACCTAAAAAGTACCTAATTTTGGCATTTTCTAAATGCGATTTCCGTACTTTGCGTTGCTGGCGTAACAGAGCTCCAAAACAAGATTGCCGGTCATCTCGATTTTCATAAGCGAATTCTGTTTAGCGATGAAGCTCAATTTTGTTTGAATGGATACGTCAATAAACAAAACTGTCGTATTTGGAGTTGTGATAATCCTCAAGTGTATATTGAGACACCGTTACATCCAGAAAAACTGACTGGTGTGCTTTATGGACTGGTGGAATGATTGGTCCGTAATTTTTAAAAAACGATGCGTGTCAAAACGTTACAGTTAATGGTGACCGCTATAGAGCCATGATTACTGACTTTTCCTTCATCAATTGAATAACAATGATGTGCAGGAGATGTGATTTCAACAAGACGGCGCGACATGTCACACATGTTTATTCAGGTCGCGCTATATACGCCCAACGATGTTATTAATTTTTTTTCATCTGATCAATACCGTAGATTGTTGAGGAGAGTGGTGTGATGACTGCTAACTAGGACCTTCCGAATTGTTTTTTTAGTTTTTATTACATTAACTGTATCATTATCTTTTTTTTCAATGAAACCGTTCAACATAATTTTTTTTACTTTTGGCGAAAATTTTCTTGGATTTTCATTTCAGCAAAAACTGTCATGAACCTTGTGAACCTTCACGGATTATTGACCACATTTGTTTCTGAAGATGTTATTAGGTTTGGTAATAATCTTCAGGGATTACTCATCTGGCGACACTCCCTTCAATTGTGTGTCCGTATTTTTGCAGACGGAATCATTTACGTTGTCATTGGACCATTAAGAAAGTCTTAAATTACCCTATAATTAACGTAATTTGCAATTCATGAGTGCGCAAAACTTAACTTGCAATTAGTAGATATTCAAACAAGACAAGCCGTATTGTATGCATGACGAAAAGTTGTCGGAACAACTTGTACGAAAGGGTTGGGATCTCAAGGATCGATTTGTGGACTTAGTTTATATGGAAATAAGGCAATTTTGAACTTCGCGAGTTGTTATAAACAAACTCATCTCACAGTAAAACGATGTCAATCGTTTTACACTGAGAATACCATCAATCAGCGGCGGCTCGTCAAAGGAGGCAAGGGAGGCTTAGCCTCCCCATAAAATTTCAGGCTATTCATCGCAATAAATTAAAAGATATTGACAAATAATAATGATTATTTTTTTCTAAAAATGCTTGGGTATCATTACTTTACCATTAATTTTTAATATAAATACATGATATGCCCGAAAAAACACTATCACTCACTACGTAGTACGTACCACACTGTATCCTGCATCAACAAAACTCGAACGTACCGCTCATGAACGAATAACGAATAAACCATCAACCCGAAATAATAAATGCAAGGGAGCCAAGCCTCCGACCGCTTTAAAAAAACACAGGCTCCACGAGACTGATCCAACCAGCGACATACGTCCCGATTTGTAATTTCAGTTGCAGAAATTAGTGCTTCAGAGGAGGCTAGCCTCCAGTTGGTCTCCGTTAGTGTACGATTACGTTTGTTTTTTATTTAATTATTCGGACGGGGACTATAAAATATTTCGGTAAATCGTTTTAGTGTTTCTTGATAATATTTGTTATTTGTGTATAAAACAGGCAGTATTATATTATAGCAGTGCTTTTTGGTAATATTTTTAATGTGTTTTTAAGTGTTTTCTTTTAATTTCAAGGTGTTTTCAGGTTTTCACTTTTCGGTAAGTTTTTTTTTCATTTATTATGGATAAGTTGGACGAAATTGAAAAATCTGACGATATAGTCGATTGGTTGCTGACAAATAATTTCAAGTCTTCATATTATGATGATAAATTTTACATTATTAAAACTCTGGGAAGGCCTCAACCAAATTTAATTTCAATTGGATCGTCAGATAATCGACAAAATCGAGGATTTAATATTAGTTGGTATGATAAATGCGATTGGTTAACCGGCTCCATTAAACGAGAAAAACTTTTTTGTTGGCCCTGTATTTTATTTTCCGTACAAACCGAATACCAAACGTGGTCTAAAATAGGATACTCTTATTTAAAAAAATTACCTCGTGTTATGGGGCAAATATGATTCACAATTTGGCACTTTTTTAAACGGTAGCGTTTTTTGGGGCACCTGAAAAACCATTCAGAATGAGCTTATTATAGACAGTGTGGCATATATTATCAAGGAAAATATAAGCAAGGAGATTGCAAGTGTTTTTTTTTTCATGGGAAATTGATGAAACTACCGATATTACCTGTACATCACAACTTTCAATCGTTTTTAGATATGTCAAAGATGGTAATGTGGTAGAACGTTTTATGGGTTTTCAGAATGTTTCATCTGAGCGCACAGCTGACGATTTGTTTAATTTTTTAATTCGTACGTTCGACATCTATAATTTCAGGCAAAAGTCAATTGCGCAAACCTATGATCTGGCTGCGGTCATGGCCGGCCATTTAAATGGTTTACAAACTAAAATAAAGTCCATGACTCCTCATGCACTTTTTACGCATTGTCATGCCCATCCCTAACTTTAGTATTAAGTAAAGCCTGCAATAACATACAAATTTTCGCGCCCCGGCGGGCTTTCCTGTGTGTATATAGTCTATATGACTTAAGCCTCCCCTGTTCTCCAATGCACGAGCCGTCACTGCCATCAATCATGTTCGCACTACTGATATCTAAACTATTTGAAGCAATATTATAAATAGAGAAAATAGTACTTTAGGGGACTCTTTATATTTCGGGAACTGGCAACACTTATGTCAATAGGTAAAATGTGGCAACACCATAATGAAGTTTGACATTTTTAGCACAAACGTACGTATAACGTTTTGATATGTACAAGTGCTATTTGTTTTGTTTACAGTGAGTTAAGAAAATCAATTTGTTCAAAAAATTTCAGGGGAAAGTTTTTGTTAAATTATTTTTCATACCTTTCGACGTGGATTATCTCAAAAAGAATGTGTCGATGTTCTGAGTTCTTTGTAAAGCACCATAAAAACCAGAGTATATCGCTGGTATAGTGAATTCAACCATGGTCATAGTTCGGTCGCCGACTAATTCCGCGAAGGTCGTCCAAAATCGGTTGTTGTGCAAAAAAACATCGATGTAGTGCCTGAACTGATAATGCAGAATCGTCATGTGACATATTGTGAGATAGAGGCGTCCTTGCACATTAGCTCCACTTCGATTTTGCATGAACCCTTGATTGGAAAAAAATGTTCTTGTTGGACACTCTATAATTGATCAATCGCTCAAAAAAAGACTCGCGTCATGTGGTGTAAAGAAATGATTGAAAAATTCACTTCGAAAAATGTGTATAAAGTCGTGACAGGTGGATATATGCGTATGAGCCGAAAACAAAACAGCGATCCACGGTGTGAGTATTCCATAACGAGCTAAATCCAACTAAAGTTGTTCGTGGAAGAGGCACAAGCAAATGTTCGCCTGTTTTTTCGGTCGAATGGATCATATGGCCACTGTTCTCGTATATCTCGTCCAACAGGTGAATTTTTGAGCAGTCAAAACATCAAATTGATGACTCATCCTCCGTATAGTCCTGATTTCGCACCCAATGACTTCTTGTTCCGGAATATTATAAGCAAACTGCGTAGCAATGATTTACCAGCGCCGAAGAAACAGTTGAAGCGTTCAAAAACCATGGAATGGAAAAACTGCTTTGACAAATGGTTTGAACGAATGCAAAAGTGTATTGATTATCAAGGGGAATATTTCGGAAAACAATAAAGCCATTTTCATTAAAAAACATTTGTTATTATTTGCTATTCCCGAAATATAAGTAGTACCCCTCGTATCTGAAGACTTTACCGAGGAGATATACATATGTACTGTCATTTGACAGTTACATTGAGGCACTTAACCGTCCATAGAGGACAACCCTGAGAAAATAAAGTCGATGACATCTCCTCTTACGAGCCCAGCAATGCAGACTTCATCTAATATATAAAATTCTCGTGTCGCTTTGTTAGTTGCCATACTCTCCTGAAACGGATCAATCGATTTTCATGAAATTTCATATATATTCGGTAGGTACGAGAATAGTTTTCAATCTATATTTTATACCCCTGAGTGATAAGGGTGTCCCACCCCAAACATTTCTTTTTTGTTTTGGACAAAATCATCTGTTTTTATTTTTTTATGACGTGGTATTGAACAATTAATACAAATTCTCAATTTTCGCCCTCATCCTATTACCAACCCCGGATTTTAATAGCCATTTTAGTAATTAAATCATTTTTAACCCCGATCATAGATCAGTTATTTCCGTTAGGCGTCTACCGGTGTCACTTTTCCCTCAGTGAACAACACGGAGTAGGGATGAGAACGAAGCTACTAACACAGTAAGTCTTCTTCCACTGCCTACACAGTTTCGGCCACTATTATCGTGTATCCATCGAGCGTAGATATAGTTTGCGATGCCACCGAAACTGTGAATTATCCAACAGAGTTTTTAAGCTCATTTGATTTGCCAGGCACGGCTGTGCAACAGCACGCGATTAGTCATTAAAAAATTAATGAGAAATGTCAGCATTTTGAATGGCATGTTTCGAAGTGTAAATATATCAACACCTCAAATCCCTATTATACCCACCAATATGCCAATTCATTTTGAATTTGTGCAATTTTCAATCAGATTGGTATTATTATTAAGTTTCAAGGCCAAATAATGTCCGTTTGTGGCTTGGATTTGAGCACACCATATTTTTCATACGGATAAGTATACGCGGTATGCTCTCGAGTGGGAAAAACATCCAGTTTGTTTGTGTTGGCTGAACATTGACTAATGAAAAATATTGTACATACTATAGCATTGGGAGATTATTTTTATTTGTAAGTGTTGTTTTCATAGAAATACTTTATGTAGTAAAACAACGTTTGCCGGGTCAGCTAGTAATGTATATAATATGAATTTGGAATGGTTAGGAACTTATATGATAACATTCGTAATGGGAATAAAATCTGTAAGTTTCTTAGTCAGTTCAAACTGTGGATATTGAAATCTGCACAGGTAACCTGATTTTCAACAAATTTTGTTAATTTCTGATAGAAAAACTCCAAACACTTTTATCAGCATTATCAATTATAATAATATAAATCATAATGAAAATATATGAAGAAGGGAAAATGAATCAAGTGAAAGCTCTACGTCACTTTTTCCTATTTCTTTTAGAAACGCTCCTCTTGTTTCTTCCGGCATTTTGCTTAGCCTCAGCCGCAGCTGTCTCTGCTTTCTTAGCTGCGTCCCTGGTCTTTGCCAATTCCTTTTTGGCCCCTTCCAGCTGATGTGTTAATTGCTCCAGTCGAGACTTGGCTGCTTCCAGGAGTTGTTCTTTTTCACTGAGTTGCTGGCTGATACCTTTAAAAATGGTGTAAAATGAAAACCAAGAAGAATTCTGACAATATATTGTCGTTATTGTTTCGTTACTGAAGGAAAAGGTGAAGAGAGATACAGAAATTTCATCACTGAATATCTTGTCTACTGCACTGAAGAGAAAGGAGATTTTGAAACTGATCAAAGGGCGTTCTTTCTCAGAAGTGGTCGCGATTGATTATCCTTTCTCAAGGGTAGAACAATTCTTGAGAATATCTAAGAGCGTAATTTCAATAACATGTTTGGGGTTTTAATCAGGCCAATAGTTTTTTTTCTGTTTGAATCTACAAGTTTTGGAGTATGAGTGGAGTCGTAGCTCCATAAATTTAAGCGATATTTTGGAAATTAGAGTGCAATTTGTGTGTGAGAATGAAAATCCTATACATATTTTCTGTAGCTTGATTAATTTCCCGGTTTTTATTAGCTCGTTCCTCTCATTGCAAAATGTGAAGGAGATAAATCCAAAGGTGTATCCAATACTGCTGTTGGTGTCATTTCCATTACATATATTATTTTCAAACAAATGAGTAAGCATGAGTTCAATCACCATTGTCTGTATCATCCTGTCTGGTTTTAACCTCTAGGTTTAGAATTATACTGGATTTATATCCCAACACCAAATAGTTATTTTGAATACTTCGAAACGTGTTTCAGTCACCAATTGATTATCTTCAAGAGAAATATTAAACTCAATGTTTAGGGCTAACCTGACGTTGGCAAGGACGGACACTTCATTTTAATACTTTCAAGTAGTTAGTTCCTGATCAACCTTGCAGTGTACTATTTCACTTTTCTGGACCAGGATGACTAAGTTATCCGAATGGCCAGTACTTCAGTCCATTAGGAACCAAAGAACGTAGTACCCTGTCCATTGCTAGATTCCATAGCAACAGGCAGCTGTTGTGCTTTCAACCCAGAGAAGCGCATGAGGAGAAGGTTCAATTTGGACCTTACAAAGCATTGAGTTAGTGATGTATGTATTTTTTGTTCCAGCTCTTGTTGCATGGACCATTTTCCAAATCTAAAGAAGATACACATGGGTTTCAGTTTCGATAGGTCAGTAATATACAGTGCTTTTCAGATAAAAGTATTCACCTTTAATAACTTTTGTAATACTGGTATTTAGGAAAAATCCAAAAACACGTCAATTTATGTTGGAAGGGGCAAGCATTATGGCTTATTTAAACTTACTGGAAAAGCCACCCCCTCACCCCTAGCATCATCCCTTTTTTTTAAATTACTTCTCATATTTTTTGTGTAAAATTTGGATACTCCTCTTTGAGCTGATTTCAAAAATGTATAAAACTTGTAGGTTGAAGTGGTTAGTTTATGAGATAAACAATTTTTCTTTTAATAGCACAAATTTTACTTATTTTTTACTTTCAGCTTATTTGCCTGTACTAAAATGGGTTGTACAACAGTTCAAACTCTTTAATCTGTTTAACTGTGCTATTTATTCCACTTCAAGAATCCAAACAACAAAAAACTCTACTTTTTATTAAAGTTTGACATTGTCAACTAGAATTTGTAGTCACTATTGATAGTGTACTTTGATACATTATTTATTTTGTTTCGCTGAAATGGTTTACTCTTTGCAAGAAAGAATTGAAATTGTAGGTTTATACTAACAAAATAATAATTGTGCAAGAGCTGCTGCTAGAATATTTAACGAATTACATGACGGAAGACATGCAACTCATAAGTATGTAATTCAACTGATGGAGAAATTTACCACAACAGGGTCTGTTTGCAATAAAGTGCATAAGCGAGAGGGACTCGTAAATAACGAAGCAATCCAAGTGGCAATTTTAGGGCAAGTCAGCTTAGAGGCTCAACAACCCCAATCGTTGTCAACAATAAGTAGAGCGATCGGTGTTTCATCTTCTACAGTTTTCCGAGTTCTACATAAATTCAAGTACCACCCATACAAAGTTAAGTTGGTGCACGAGTTGAATGAAGATGATTTTGATCGTCGTCTAGAGTTTTGCGAATCAATGACGCAATTTATCAATAACAATCCACAATTGTTAAACAATATTTGCTTTTCTGATGAATGCTCATTTTCATTAAATGGCTTAGTAAATAGGCATAATTGTAGATATTGGTCTGAAAGTGATCCACATATTATGCGTGAATTCCATACACAACATCCCCAAAAGTTAAACGTTTGGTGTGGTATCCTAGGTGACCACATTGTCGGACCTTTCTTCATCAACGGAAATTTAAATGGTGAATCATATCTTGAGTTACTCAGGGAAGGGGTTGACCCACGTATTACAACAATAATAGAAAATGATGATAACCTTTCCGAAGATTTACTGGTATTTCAACAAGACGGAGCTCAGCTCCCCCACACTATGCTATGCCTGTCCGACAATTTTTAAACGAAACATTCCCCGCTCGTTGGATAGGTAGAAGAGGGCAGATGATGGAGTGGCCATCTAGGTCACCGGATTTAACACCCCTAGACTTCTTTTTCTGGGGGTATTCGAAAACAAAAGTTTATGTTACCCAACCAGAATCTCTGGATGATTTACGAGAGAGGATAGAAAATGAATGTCGACAATTAAATCCAGCCGTATTAAGCAATGTCAGAGAGGCATTTCAAAATAGATTATACCATTGTATGGAAGTGAATGGTACTCATTTTGAACACTTATTGTAACTTCATAATAAATAGCACAGTTAAAAAGATGAAAGAGTTTGAACTGTTGTACAACCCATTTTATTACAGGCAAAGAAGGTGAAAGTAAAAAATAAGTAAAATTTGTGCTTTTAAAAGAAAAATTGTTTATCTCATAAACTAACCACTTTAACCTACAAGTATTATACATTTTTGAAATCAGCTCAAAGAGGAGTATTACATAAAAAATATGAGAAGTAATTTAAAAAAAAGGGATGATGCTAGGGGTGAGGGGGTGGCTTTTCCAGTAAGTTTAAATAGGCCATAATGCTTGCCCCTTTCAACATAAATTGACGTGTTTTTGGATTTTTCCTAAATACCAGTATTACAAAAGTTATTAAAGGTGGATACTTTTATCTGAAAAGCACTGTATAATAAGAAGAGAGTTGAAAATATAGAGACATTTCTGAAGTGATCCTACAAATTGTTATTGCCATATAGTTTCCAAAACCTCACCTTCAAAAGCCTGTTGAGAATTAGCGGCATTGATTCTGGCCATTTGTATTGAGGTTTGGAGGAGTTTGAGCTCTGCTTGAGCTTGTTGGTTAGATTTAGTTGCGAATTGTGCTGTTTGTTGGAGTTGTTGAAGACTTGACGATTCCTCATTGAGCTGAAAAACGAAATCATATAAAAAATGAGTCATTGAAATAACGAAATTATTCTGTATTTCGACCCGAATCCGACCTGAATCGTTAATATTTGATATTAAGCGATTAACTTATGTTATAAAATAACTACGAAACGAAAACTTATGCTAGAAGTGGTCAGTATCATGCTTTATAATATTACTATTATACTTATCATAATGAGTAATATATGTAGCAATGAGTTATGTGTCGCACAGCATTCAGATATACTGCCTTTCTTATAGAAAACATCGATTAGTCACTCTATTTGAGTCGTGAGTAAGATCTGTAAGATCTCCTGTTCTCTAACCTCTTTTGTCAAAATTCTTAGTTGTGATTGACACTTCTTCAGTAAGTATTTAGTAATCATTAAGGTACTGCTTCCAATTATATTCATCAAATGATAAATAAATCATCATTGGCCATCGCCGAGTGTTTATGTTTTCACATCGTATGCGGTTCAAAGTTTGTCATCGTATCTAATAAATGATGAAATTCGAATTTGTCTTTGTGATTGCTCCAGTTCCATAATCTTTTTATTTCGTATCACTATCCATAGCTCTCTCCTGCAGAAATTCTTTCCTAAAATCACCTTCAACTTCAGAATGTATCTGATATTTATTGAACTGTACATTCAATTTTCAACTGATTTAAAATATTACCTTTGAAATCCATGAAAATCTTAGGTCAATGCAGTACTGTATCAATGAAATAGCCAATAATGATGATTAAGCGGGTTTGTGAAACTGGATGCGAGTGGTAGAAGATTATCAAAAACCATCACGAAAGAAGTTTATGCAATTCGGAAGACAACCCATAAAAGTTATTGGAAAACATATATACGTGCAAAACCCTTCTTAGGTTTGTATGTACTTACCACCATGTCCGCTTCCTTTATTTCTTTTTGTAACTGTTCCACAAGATCCTCCTTTCCCGAAAGGACAGCATCAGCGGCTTGAGCTGCCTCCATCGCTTTTCCCGCTAATTGTTCTTTGACCTGCTTGGCTGCTTGTGCACCTGCCTGTTGTTGGGCATCTTCGGCAGCTTTAGCTTCCTGAGCAGCCTTGAAAGCAATGTTCGAAGCTAGAGTTCCCTTTCCACCTGTGCGAGGAGTACACTCTTCGCCTGCTAAGCAGGAGATTTGTTCTTTGTTGGCTACAGGACCTTCTGCGTCATTTTCCGTGCAGGATACTAGTAGTGCGCATGATAAAATGATAATGGATGCGAGTTTCATTCGGTAATGGTCAGTTTTTATTTATGAAAGGTTTTTCTGAGTGTTTGACATTGTCAAGCTTTCAATTTGACGTAGGTACTGGCTTACATGCTGGTAGCGACACACACAATACAAGGTGTTGATTAAGTATGTACCATAAATTCAACAGACAATTTTTTAGGTAATTTCAAGACGAAATGTTCATATAAACATGGGCCCACAAATCCTTCTTTCCCAAGATACAGGGTGTTAAAATAAAAATAAAAAAAAAGTTATTCCTAAATATCTTAAATATCCTTTACCTAATTTTGTTGTAATTTGGCGATGAAATTTAAAACATTAAGGAGCTAATTTAGTCTGAACGTGATTCAATTTATTGAGTCCAGTGGCGTCTCGAGCGAGATTTGAACGAATATTTTTGACTTAAAAATGTACGCTACTGACTTTTGTGCAATTTTTATCATTTCTTTGGATTAAGCAATTGGAAATACAACTTTTCGTATCTTGCTTAGTTTTTAAGAAAAAAAAGTCGACCTAATTGCATATCCCTGGACCTCACAAGGAATAATATGGGGAATAAATGTTTCTAAAGCAAATGGAACTTCAAACGTTCAAGCCAGTCTCTATATACCTACACAGTAGGTTTAATGGACTGACGCCTATCAGAAAACAACTACTCCCCTGGCTAATACCACGAAGGGCGTTGGATTATATCAGACAGGCGTCAGTGCAGGAATCTTCACAGAAAATGTCCTGCATATATGCAGGAGTCTTCAAGCATAGCCCATTGACTAATAAGAAAATAAATGTTTCTTTTGGAAATTATTCATTACTAATTCATTACATTACATTACAATTTTTCATTACTAATCATGTAACAATAACAACAAATATACAACAAATATTAAATATTAACATCTAGACTAACGAATTGTACTAAATTAGGTGTTGGAAATGGCCTCCTTCGGCTTCAATACAACCGTCTAGCCGCCGCATCATTGAATTTTGCAATCTTATGAAAATACCATAAATAATAATCAAGGTTGCCTTGGAAAACGATTGCAGCATTCAATAAACAACTTTTATAACAATTATAAATTGAAAGCTTTATAAGCTTTTAATTTATAATTGTTATAAAAAGTGTGTTTAGTGGTTATTTTTCGAACCATTTTTGTAAAACATGGTTCAATTTACTAACAGTGAAATGGCAGATATGCATTTCTGTTATGGAATGGCTCACGGAAACTCGATTGATGCAAGACGCATTTACCATGAAAGATTTCCCCAGCGTGTAGTGCCAAATAGAAGAACTTTTGTACGTCTCCATGCCCGACTTTCTGAAACAGGCAGCTTTAAAAGATCGACGGTTGTCATTGGGATGCCTGCAACGGTACAAACAGTTCAAATTGAAGAAGCTGTTTTAAATAAGATTGAAGTAAATCCTCATACCAGTACTTGGAAAATAGCTGAAGAACTGAATATTACCCATGTCACAATGTGGCAGATTTCAAGAGCTCAGCAGCTATATCCCTATCACATGCAATGTGTGCAAGCTCTATTGCCCAGAGATTTGCCGTTTTTCTCGCAGTTCAATTATTAACTTCCACATCAGTCACATTTGGGCCGAAAACAATCCACACGCCTTGATAGAAATTAATTTTCAAGATCAGTTTTCATTTAATATCTGGGTTGGAATTGTCGGTGACCATCTCATTGGGCCTCACTTCCTTCCACCTAGACTTAATGGAGAAGAATACCGAAGGTTTTTAGAATTTGTTTTTCCTGGACTTCAAGGAGAAATTCCAGTCATGGAAATATTCCGTATGTGGTACATGCACGATGGTGCTCCACCACACTTTAGTGTAGTGGTACGTCAATTTTTGGATGAAAATTACCATAATCGCTGGATTGGGAAAGCAGGCCCACACTCATGGCCACCTCGCTTGCCCGAAATGAATCCCTTAGATTATTTTCTCTGGGGACACCTTAAAGCGTTGATATACAAAACTGCTATTCAAGGTGAAGACGATTTACGGAATAAAATCATTAATTCATGTGATGTAATAAAAAATACGCAGCTAGACGGTTATATTGAAGCCGAAGGAGGCCATTTCCAACACTTAATTTAGTGCAATTCGTTAGTCTAGCTCTAGATGTTAATGTTATTTAATACTTTGTTGTTATTGTTACATAATAAGTAATGAAAGAATTCAAAAATAATAATTTCCAAAAGAAACATTTAATTCCCCATATTATTCCTTGCGAGGTCCAGGGATATGCAATTAGGTCGACTTTTTTTTCTTAAAAACCAAGCAAGATATGAAAAAATTAAAGAGACAAAAAGTTGTATTTCCAATTGCTCAATCAAAAAAGTAAAATGAATGAAAATTGCACAAAAGTCAGTGGCGTACATTTTTAAGTCAAAAAATTTCAAAAATATTAATTCAAATCCCGCTCGAGACGTCATTGGACTCAATAAATTGAATCACGTTCGGGCTGAATTAGCTCCTCAATGTTATACATACCATTGCCAAATTACAACAAAATTAGGTAAAGGATATTTAAGATATTTAGGAATAACTTTTTTTTTATTTCAACACCCTATATCTTGAGAATGAAGGATTTGCGGACCCATATTTATATGAACATTTCGTCTTAAAATGACCTAAAGAATCGTCTGTTAAATTTATGCTACACACTTAATTAACACTTAGCAGACAAGCACTATTAGCCTTGAACAGATAGTGTGTTACCTCAGGGCTAGTACTAGAGTGCCACTAAGATTCAGCCAAAGCCTCGATAGATAATAACATTATCTTGAGGTGGGTTAAAGGGCACGACAAGAGTAAAGGTAATCGCATTGCCGACTTTTTAGCCAAGGAAGCGGCTGGACTAAGAATTTTGGAACCCAGTGGCACCCACGGCCTGATGACTTCGACAATTGCGGAACTAGTCAAATGTTACACCCATGCTCAATCCTTAAAGAGATGGGATGAAATCAAAGGATGTAATCTTGCCAGGATCACCTTGGGCGACCCTGGGAAGCTGGCGCCGAAGAAGTATCTGGCGATGACCAGAAAAAATCTACGCCTTACAGTAGGATTTCTGACTGGCCACTGTCAACTAAGGAAACACCTCCATAATATGGGTCTGCTGACACATCTCTATGCAGGATTTGTGAACAGGAAGATGAGACTGTCAGGCATGTCCTGTGCGAGTGCCCGGAGTTATCGTCAATGAGAGAGTGTGTGTTCGGCGAGTCTTGGCCTACACCTGCCGATATAAATGAGATGTCTCCCAGCGACCTGTCCACCTTCCTGGAAAGGATAGGATGGACGATGACCTAGGAGGACAACTCCTCGGGAGGATGTACAATGGGTCACATGTGGCCTAAGTGCGTGGGCTTACACTCCCCCTCCCTACTCTACAGATACAGAACACCCTGTATAGAATGTTCGTATAAATCAGAGGACCATTATGACTAAACTAGATGTGAAACAGCTTTTCGAATTTCATCAACGTGTGAATTGTTCAAAGGTAAGTTTTGGTTTTTGTCAGTTTTTCATATGGAAACAACTGGTTAACTAATAGCTCTTTCCATCGGTGAAACTTGTGTTGTCCACGTATCCTACTGAAACTAAAGTGACTCTGCCAAATTTCTACATTGAACTGATTTCAATGGATCTTAGATTCCAAAGTATCTAAACTGATAGCCCATATCGACCCTCCTCAATAGGAAGACTCAATAAACTGTCTTTGTTCTGGATTTCTGGCCATACTGGCCTGGAAAGTAATGAGGCTGCTGACTCCCTTGCAAATGAGGGTGCTGCAAGCAGCTTCAGCGGACCAGAACCTATCATCGGCATGCCTTTTTGAATAGCTGGATGGCAAAAAGATTTATGAATTTTTGGCAAAATCTTCCAGGACTGGCTCACTCCAAGGCGTTTATTCACCCTTCGAAGCTTGAAACCAAACAGTTGATGAACTACAGTAGGGATGAACTACGATGATCCTGATCTATACTATACCAACCAACTCTTGTTTTAAAAATAATTTATATTATAAAATAATGTAAAGTACATTGAGAAGTATCGTAAGTCACGTTCTTATGCTCCTCTTGGAAACCTTTCTTCTTCCTCTTCCAATGTTTTGCTTTGCTTCCGCAGCAGATGCTTCTGCCCTTTTGGCCGCTTCTTTAGTTTTAGAAAGCTCTACTTTGGCGGATTGTAACTGATGAGTAAGCTCTTCCATACGAGCCTTTGCTGCTTCTAGAAGTTGTTCTTTTTCGTTGAGTTGGGCATTGACACCTGCGATGAAAAATATTTGTACTATTATTTTTTTAAGTTTGTTAACAAACTCTTGTCGATGGAATGATATAAGTTAGTTGAAGAATTTGAATGAAACGTGCTTCGCTTCGAGAGGTGTAGCTCGAAGCGAAGCAGTAACTCGTCTTGATAATGCCATCTGAGATGATGGCGAAACGTCGACTATCGAATAGTACACAACGGATGAACACCCGGAAAAACAACTTTGGCACCGCGCTGATGAGGCCAATAGCTAGAAACACGTGTCCGCGGTTTGCCTCCATTTCCTGAGTGTTCCGTCCACAAATTTTTGAGAGAAATGATAGATATATAAGTTATGTTCTAGTTGATTATTCATTTGAAGGAGGTAAGCCTTGGAAGAAATATTTTTGGAACTGCAGATTGCTTCATTTTGATTGCTTTTGAATTCAATCCTATTCTTTAGGAGGTATTAGAGCATTATTTTCCTATTGTTGAACTTGCAAGTGAGCTCTTCAATTTTATTTTGCTGTATCCTGTGTCAGTGTGTATAGTATATTCAGAGATATACAAAATGAAAATTTGATCTTGAACGACAAAACCAGCCGGTGGGTAGTTGACAGGAATTGAAGTTGATAATTGTAAATACCTATGCCTATGTGTATTACTTTTGATATTTTGTTTCCTGAAGAGGTTCTTGGGTTATTGGCGTTGTCCATGCTATGTTTTAATAACTTCACAATAGATTACGACCAAATACCGTTGGAAATATGCATGTTGTTGAATAATCATTGTTTTTTTTCACTGAAAGCGAAAAAGGGTTGTAGACTACTGATTTACCTTCCAAGGCTTGTTGAGAATTGGCAGCATTGACTTGGGCCAGTTGAATGGACGTTTGGATAACTTTGAGTCCAGCTTGTGCCTCTTGAGCTGCTTTACTACTGAATTGTGCAGTTTGTTGGAGCATTTGAAGACCTGACGTTTCTTCATTCACCTAATTGAGGATACATTGAGTATATTCGCAATAACAAGAGTTGAAAGGTGAAATATTCAGTTGAGGATGTACTCACCACCAACTCTGCTTCTTTCACTTCTGACTGTAGTTGTTCCACTAGAGCTTCTTTTCCCATGAGCGCTGCTTCAGCAGCTTTCGCAGCCTCCATCGCTTTTCCTGCTAATTGCTCCTTCACTTGCCGGGATGCTTGCTGGGCTGCTTGTTGTTGAGCAACTTCAGCGGCTTTAGCATCTTGAGCAGCTTTTTCGGCGATTACCGAACCGGAAACACCATGACCTTTGCCTGGAATACATTCTCCACCAGTTAAACAGGAAATTTCGCCTTTATCAGCCGCGGGACCTTCCTTGTCGTTTTCCGTGCAGGACACTAACAAAACATACGTCAAGAGGAAAAGGAGAATCGCTTTCATTTGAGGTTCATATGCTTTTGTGCAGGAAAATGTCCTGGTGTGACATTATCAAAGTGTCAAATTGATTGATTGATTGATGGACAACGAAAGTCATCTGAAATGTTGTTTGAATATCGCAAATTTGTCACATTTTGTTATCGATAGCTTAGTTTTCATTATGGATTCATCAATTGAAGAAAGAAAGTAGAAGTGTACATATTTTATGTTGGTATATATGTTAAAGAGCATATGCAATAATCTTTATATATCTATGGATATGCCTATCACGAAGGAAAGAAGATCTATTCTGCTTTTAACTTACACGTAAGTTGTTCATGAATGTTAATTGTTCAGACTTTCATTGCTTAAAAAAAGGTGTTACAAGACTTGAAATCTTTGGAAGAACAAATAGAATGGAAATGAACGAAATGTTAAAATTATTGAATATACTTAAAAAATTATCGGCCCTGAATATTTGTGAAAAACAAACATACAAATTAACAAAAAATGTAGGCGAGAACGCTAATTTGAGAAAAATAATCATCTCGTACTCCGTTTATGTGAAATTACAAATGTTGATGCGTGATATCTTCTCACCTTGTTAGACAGTGATAAATTCAGTGAGGTTTTACTTTACCGTGGATGATTTATGAAACTCAATTATTGAAACCGCATGCAGACATAAACAAGCGAAATAATTTATCAATTAATTATTACTGTACGTGCAGAGCAATTTAAACACTGAAAAATGAAAATGGAAATTCTCACATCATCGTGGGTTCGTAGAATTTTTTATTGATGTTAATTGATATGATGGATAAGAGGAAACTCGTTAGGTCGGTCAAATTTTCTTCTAGAGGAAATATATTATAGACAAAATAAATGAAATTCGACGATAGTGATTTATCCTGAATTGTTTCAGAGCAAAGATAAGTATTTTATTTGTATTTTTTGGGATGCATAAGCACCGAAGAAAATTTTCCCGGAATGTGGTGCCTGTGAAAACTAAGGGTTTGCTTTGGATTTATCGCTATAGCCTCGGGAAGTTTAGGATGCCGTTCTCCGAATCTGAGAGTTTTCAAATGGTGTAGTTGTTTTATGTTGAATTCGTAGACATATGATAATATGGACTGGGCGTGACGCCACTTATACTCATATTCCACCTGCGGATCACACAACGCCCTAGAATTTTCACAATAGAAATTTGCAACACGTCAAAAATCGCGACATTGTATCTGACGTTAAGTGTATGAGTGACACAAATGCCAAGTCGCGAAACCTCTTCATATTTTGCAGTTGTTGGAGTCAATGTTCTCTGTCCAATTGCCAATTGAGAGTCCATGTAATAACGTCACTAGTTAGCGCGTACTTCTGACATTGTCTATAGATTTAGACAATGCTTCTGACATATTACTCTGAAATTACCCGATCCAAGTTAGTCGGTCTCTTTCCGCAAGTATCTTCAATGTCTTTTGATGTTTGAGACAATTGGGCTACTTTTTGATGTTTGGTTCTCTAATGAGGCGGAATAGAAACTAACAGCTTCAGAGAATGGTCAGAGGCGGATTCCCATATTTGTAAGCAGACCTTCAACATGGTCTCATTTGAGTTTAATAAAGTATTTAGAGTTGCTGAGGTGAGTAAAGCTTCCCAGTTCAAAATAGTGTTCCAAGTTTCTGGAAATCCGACTTCATTCTTCCCCATACGTAAAAACAAATTTTAAACAGACATATTCTTCCAGTGATGTGATTTTGCCTGGTTTCGCCACACTCACATATTTAGCGAAAACTGATGAGTAGGTTGAGCCCTAATTCAGGCAGACTGTGACGTCATCATCAAGGGTCCACCCACAAATCAAGTGCCCACCCTCAAATCAAAGGTTCTCCTCCACATCAAGGACTTAAATCAAACCAATAACCCAAATCAAGGCCCACTGCCAAATCTAGGGCCCATACCAATGGAATGGAATGAGTGCGTATTGTTTTTTCCTCAAAATCAACTGGGAGTGGAATGTAAATTGTTCAGCAAGTACATCTGATTCTTGTATCGCTGTTGTTGCTTTAGAACCATCCAGTGTTAGTAGTGAAATTGTGGGCTTGGTGACCAATGGTATGAGTTACTGATGAGGAAAAATTAAAACCGCCGGGGTTGGATGAAAGATAATTTCTAATTTCCTGTTGTGAACTTGTTAACACCTCATTTTGAATTGTTCAGCAGCATTGCGCTGCTTCAGGTGGGCAAGATTTTTGGAATCGACAGCTTGTTTGCAATTTAGGTTGTATATTTGCCTAATAGAATGACCTTCAGAGGCATATATTGATGGATCATCAGATCTGAAAAAAATTATGGCTTGAAGAAGTTTGGAAATCATCTTGAACATCTTCCCCTTCGACAGATCTGAAGTGTTGAAGTTTGCACGGTCTCAGCTGATCTCTAACACTAAGTAATTCATTCGAAATGAGTTTGTGGTCAGATAAGTCGTTAAGAATATATCCGGCAACTAGCAAATCATTCAACTAGGTCAGGAATTCCTGTTGGCTCTTGTATAATCTGCCAATGATAATTAGAAAATCTGCTTCGCGACCTTGCTCTTTATTGATGCCAATTGCTGTTGTATACAATAAGAGCACCAAATATAGATATTTTGACCAGCCCCACTATAAAATAATTCAGAAGTGAAAAGCCAAATAGAGCTATTGTGATATTCATATCTGTAGAAATACTTTTTTCAAATAATTATCAATTTTTTCATATATGCAGTTGAGAATCCAACAATCTATACTATATGATATCCCGTATTTTATTGTACGGACTTCAAGGGGGCACAAAACAACGATAATCCTTCACTCAGTGCACGAGCCGAATATAATATTTCCAGCTAGAAGGGCTTCCTCGCTATACAACTGTCTCTGATATCACATTACACGAACTGGTGTCTTCTCCGTGTCTTGACTTTATTCAAATTTTATACCCAATTTGAACCCGCTGCTTTCTCGGTTTTTATATTGAATTATGTTGGATTTGTGGTGATCCGAAAGTGTGACGGATCTGTAGAGATTCAGAAATTTGAACTAATTCGTCTGGTATCGGATTCATGGGAGCAGCAGGATCGCATTTCATTACGTGTTATGGACATTTTAATTGCTGACCTGACGAATTATTGACTGTTGAAGGGATTGATTACCATTATCGAACACATAAATTCAGTTATCAACGTCAATTATTGATCAAATTCGTGAAAAGAGGATTTGGATGGTGATTGAATCATTCATCATAATTTAAACTCTGTCATCAGTTGAAAAGCAAAAATCTGTTCTCTAATTTGTTTTGCAGTAATCAGTGAACATTTGGAGAACCTATATTTTCTTATTCAATTTTCACAAACTTTCATTCAACTCACAAGCCATGAAGTTACAGAGTCCACTACAGTATATTTACTCCTTCACTATAACTACGAGGTCCGGCTATTAAATGAGGAGATTGCGCGTCTAGAGGGCGCCCTAGAGGGGTGGGAAAAAAACGAGTAGTGCTTGGGTATCTGGAAATCTTCTCTATTCACGTACCAAAACACGTTTTCGTCACTATTATAGTATTTGTGCAGTAGCGGTTTGAAATGAACGTATCAATCTCAAATTTCTCGTTGAATTGAAAAAAACTCCGACTAGGTGCTATGAATTGTTGCGAGAGGCCTACGGGGACAATTCTCTATCTCGTGCGTGTGTTTCTGAGTGGTGTAAGCGCTTCAGTGAGGACCAAGAGAGCACTGAAGATGACTAGCGCCCAGGTCATCGTTACTGTTTCAACTCCGGAACCAGTGACCGAAATCAACCAAATGGTGCGTGTACATCATCGAATGAGCATCCGGATGATTGCCAAGGCTGTAAACGCCAATGAAGAAACGGTTAGAAAAATTTTACACGAGGAATTATACATGACAAATGTCTGTGCGAAGTTGGTGCCAAATAAAAAACCTGACTCCTGACCAACAGTTCTTGCGTCCACAGGTCTGCTCAGATTTCCTTGAAAGGTTAGAAGAAGATCCCGGACTGATGAAAAATATCATTACTTGCGATGAAACGTGGATTTTTAAATACGATGTTGAAACAAAGTGGCAATCGATGCGTTGGAAGACGTCTGAATAGCCCAAAATCAAAAAGACTTACTATTTGTCAGTTTTAGTAACACTGCGAGAACAACTTCGTAAGAAACGGTCCGAGTTGTTGAAGAACAACTCGTGAATTTTGCATCAGGACAACACACTTGCCCATAACGCGCTATCTGTGTAGTGGTATTTGGCCGTTAAACGCACTCCAGTGCTCGAACACGCGCCGTACCCGCCAGATTTGGCACCGTGTGACTTTTTTGTTTCCGAAAATAAAATCTGCTTTGAAAGGGACCCGATTTGAGTCGATGGAAGAGATAAAGCAAAAAACAGCAGAACTCCTAAAGACTTCCAGCACTGCTTCGAGCAAAGGAAAAAACAGCAGTAGCAGACGAAACGTTTGATACTTCAGGTTCCATTCGACCACGGCCTACCGTATATTTTCTTAATATCATTGCAAAACAATTTCATTTATTCAATTGACAACGCTACTTACTGAAGAAACGTGACAACTGGTGATATTGAACGACACAAAAATGTTTGCTGATTGTAACATGTTTACGTTAATAACTATAATTTATTTGGAATATTAGTGCCATATAACACTATATTATCATGAGTGCCCATACCGTATTCATGAACATTATTTTTTTCAGATGATCCACAGATGTGGCTTTCGAAAAGTCACTAGAACACCTTCAAACTATGAACCAAGCGTGTTCGGTTCAGATGTCTCCATCTCCAATTCCTGTAAGTACCCAAATCGGTTACAACTATATCTATATCTATATCTATATCTATATTATATCTATATCTTTATCTATATCTATATCTTTATACTGATATTTTAAATGTGAAAGTTTGTGAGGATGGATGAATATATGTTTGTGACTCTTTAACACCTAAGCGACTGAAAGGATTTAGTAGAAACTTCACATAATACATCTCATACTTGAGAATAACATATAGGCTACAATTTAAAAAGATTTTTCGTAATTCTGGTCATAATATAATGATAAGTTATATGCAGATAATGTACCGTAAAATTGTTTATCTTAAAATACATATATCTACCTAGTATGTGGTAGCCACTATATGCAAAATACTGAGCTATAAATACAATTGAACAGGAACATTTTGATATACCTGTCAAATTTTTATAAACATTTGTATAATTGTCGTTTTAAATATTTAATATCCCTTACACTAAGTAGTTTGGAAGAATCGTTTAAAAGTTATCACGATGAGATTATCTTGACGCAACGCAGTAAGCCATTACGCGTCGCGCCTACTGTAAGACAACGGGGGATGATGCGTTGAGGAGCGGTCTAAGCAATGAAGCGCCTTCTGATAAGATTAGTATTGACAGACAGCAGGTTTTCTTGCCCAACTACAACAAAAGTTTTCTTAATATGTGTTTTAAAATCAGGTATTTCTACAACCAGCATGTCTTCCTTGCGGGTTATTAGATCTATTGACATTATATATACACGCAACGTCTCACCCAATAATTGTTGTTACCTGAATATAAAGCATCTGAGTTGATACTTTTGTATCCTACAATTGCTAGATACGTTTAACTTCTTCACAAGGTAGAGACTTTGAAATTTTGAAATTTTTCCATCAAATAAGCCAAACCTATTTCTTCTGTAATGGTTTTGCGTTTTTTTATATCCATTCATTTCGAAAACAAATCTTTAACGTTTTCGTATCTGGACTTTGATTTTTCTGGTAATGATTGTGTTGTAGCAGCATGCACTTGTCAAATAGCTGTCAGTCGTTATTTCGCTGCAACGATAATTTTCAACTGCATTTGTCAAAACCATACCTACCAAGATTTTCACATTTACAATGACAACGATGTGGAAAATATCATTTTCCATTTACGTCTTGTCGCATTCTGATCCGAGCGCTGATATATTTATCTTTATAGCGCCCTCATTAATAAAGGTGAGAATACGGGTATGTATTAAAAATGTTCAAGCACCTGCGGTTGTTTTGCTGCAGTTTAGTGTCACTATTGGAGTATTTCATATGCGAGTCCTTGAATAGCAAATGCTGTTGGGACACCAAAGATCTATTCAGAGAGAGAATGAATGAATTTACGAATAACGAATTCTTCGTGGATGTTTATTTCTACTTGCCTATACTTCATCAAGAAGTTTATTTTCCAGGTCTAAGTATCTCTACAAGAGATACTTAGACCTGGAACCAGCTATGAACCAGCTATTATCAGTTTTAATCACTGTCAAAAATTGTTTCATGGAAGATTTTGATGATGAATTTCAGTGTCGACCAAAACTCGTTGAGGATCTCTGTATCTGTAGAGTAGGGAGGATGAGTGTAGGCCCACAGCACTTAGGCCACATGTGACCCGTTGTACATCCTCTCAAGGAGTTGTCCTCCTAGGTCATCGTCCATCCTGTCTTTTCCAGGAAGGTGGAGAGGTCGCTGGAAGGCATCTCCTTTATATCGGCAGGTGTAGGCCAAGACTCGCCGAACACACACTCTCTTATTGACGATAATTCCGGACATTTGCATAGGACATGCCTGACAATTTCATTTTCCTGTCCACTAGACTCATATTATGGAAGTGTTTCCTTAGTTGACAGTGGCAAGTCAGAAATACTACTGTTAAGCGTAGATTTTTCCTGGTCATCGCCAAATATTTCTTCGGCGCCAGCTTTCCAGGGTCGCTCAGGGTGATTCTGGCAAGATTGCATCCTTTGATTTCATCCCATCTCTTTAGGGATTCAGCATGAGTGTGACCTTTGGCTAGTTTCGCAATTGTAGAAGTCATCGGGCCGTAGGTGCCACCGGCTCCTGAAATTCTTAGTCCAGCCGCTTCCTTGGCTTAAGAGTCGGCAATGCGATTACCTTTTCCCCTGTCGTGCCCTTCAACACACCTCAGGATAATGTTACTATCTACCGAGGCTTTGGCTAAATCTTGGTGGCACTCTAGTACTAGCCCTGAGGTAACATGTTGTCTGTTCAAGGCTAATAGGGCTTGTCTGCTATCAGTGCAGATTGTTATGTTTTTGCCAGAAATTTATTTTGTGGCGATTGAGATACCAGCCACAAGTTGAGGATATTTTACTTTTGGATTTTTCTCATATTTCAAATGGTTCTTACATAATGCCACATGGTTGAGCTTGCTCCGGACTTTTTTCTTCTTGAGATCAGGTTAACATGTCAATTTCTTTCAAGTTTCCGGGAGGTATCACAACTTCGAGCTTTCACTGCGCCTTTACCTGAAATTTTTTCACATATAGACACTGGGCATATATGAAGACTGGCTATGAATCAAATGCCGTCTGTGAGATTCTGATACGAATTATCTCTCTCTCAATCCCTTTCAATCCCATGATAAGCATTTGCCGGATATGCTGCCGAAACATGTTGGGAAGGCAAAAACATACGTCCGAGACTCCACTGACTTCATTGAACATTTGAAAGGCATCACTTCGGAGCCAAACGACATTCTACTTAGCTTCGATGTTGTAACCCTATTTACAAGTGAACAAGTTGATGGCAGTCCACTTATCCCAATAGTAGCGAATTTCTACATGGAAAAATGTGAAGAAATACCCTTCTGAATAGAAATACTCTTTTTGCAGACTCCTTTAATAGTGAAGGTGCTCCAAGGGGTTTCGTCGGACCGGAATCTTTTGTTAAAATTGCTCCAGGCTAAGCCAAACCAACACTGAATACCTGAAATGAAAAAAGAGTTCAGAATTCTGTTAAAATCTTCCAGGATTGACACATTCCAGATTACAGCAGAGTTAACCTACGTTGAGGTCGTTTGAATCATCACATGAAGAGACATGGACTGCTAGAAGACAGACATTGCGTGCCAGATCTGCTTACAGAATGGTATGTCTGCTCCGCCGCGGACCGAATGAGATTTTCAGTGTTTGATAGAGTTTCACTCTTCTCTTATGTTGTTTGGTGTATTTATTCATTTATTACATTCATTTGATTCAATTCTCTAGAAATATTTCAACTGCTTGGGAAGTAACTAAGCAGTTATAAGGCTGTCTTCATAGAAATAATTTTATTCAAACCCATGTTTGTTCTCAGGATACTTGAGAAATACTGTGTTCTTTTCTGATTTTTAACCAACAGCAACTATTTTCCGTTGAAGAATTCAATTGTAGATCAATTGCCTTTTGCATCCTCAGTATTTCCAGATTTCAACGAACGCTTTTCATACTCTTTCTTACGTAACCATATTCCCTTGATGGTAATACAAAATTATAATGTACGATATAAAAACTTTAGATTAATCACAGATTCTTTCTTCTTCCGTTCTGAAATTATTTACACTCATTATATGTAATAGATCATTTCCCCGGATAAACGTTGATGATGAGAAAATATTCAATACCTTATTTGAGTTGATTTATGTAAAGTGGGTTTTTATACTCCAACATAAGCTCACTGATTTGAACGAATTACCGTTTCAAATTGGAAATATTCACTGAATGTATCAGGAACTAATTACTCTCCACTGGATGTTTACAGTGATTGCTTCTTCGCGGATTTTTGTTAAACAACATTGTGTATTGAAACATGGGCTAAGAAGTTCGTAGGCTCACATAAAACATTTTTGAAATAAAATTTGAGTTTATTATTCAATATAGTTGCCTTTGAAGGCGAAACAACGATTGTAACGATCATACACTTTTTCTATACCATTTTAATAGTACAGTTTGTCTTTGTCCCTCAATCAGTAGACCTTCCCGGAGTATATGCATGCTGATTTGGATGAAGTGGGTTGTTACCTAGTACTTCATCTCTTATGTACCGCTCACATAGCCTCTCCATGGTTTTTAAGAAAAACGATGTGAGACTAATTGGTCGGAATGCTTTTGGTAGGGTGTAGTCCATCCTACCTGGTTTGGGTATAAATACTACTCTTACTTCTCTCCACTTACTGGGAATATACCTCAGAGCTAGAGAGGCTCTGAATATTCCAACCAAGTGCGGCATAAGAGTATCCAGTCCCCACTGAAGTAGGGCTGGTCTTATACCGTCAGGTCCTGGTGACTTGAAGGGGGAAAAGCCCGATATAGCCCATTTCATTTTGTCCTCATCCATTACTGTACTAGCATATTGCCAGTCATATTGTGAGGGTGTTATTGGTACATCCGTCCAGTTCGCCGTTCCAGGAAAGACAGAACCTGGGAAGTGAGTTTCCATAAGAATCTCAGCACTCTCCTGGAGGTTGGCGGCTTTGTCGCCATTTTCCCTCGTCAGGATGCCGATAGTCTTATGGTGGTCATTTGAGAGTGCCTTCTGTAGCCTAGAAGCTAGTGAGAAGTCTTCGACTGTCTCACAATAGGCTCTCCAGGCTTCTCTTTGCTTTCGTCTGCAGACTTTTTTGAGCTCTCTGAGGTTGGCTTGATGTATAACCCAGTCCTCTTCGAGTCTTGTACGTTTTGCCTTGTTGAAGGTCGTTTTCGTTGTCTTCCTGAGGTGTTCCAATTCAGGACACCACCATAAAAATTAGAATTAAGGTGCTTGACATACATATCAATCAAAAGATTGATTTGAAAAACAAAACTATTCATTGGAAAAATATTTTTAGTCCATTAATATTTTGAATGAAACTTCAAATCAAAACATCAAGACTGAATTGTTTTTTGAAATTATTACTGCAAATTTTCTCTTTGATTAGAAACAAATTTTACAACTGTCCGCCCTCTGTTGGAGACTTACTCCATCTCAGTATTATTATAGAATTTGAG